GTGTAGCATGTGGTGCCAGGGATTGAACCTTGGTCCCTGTACTCCCCTAAGCAGGAGCTTTAAGTCCATTGAACTATCTCACCGGCCCTCTTTTTTTTTTTTTTTTTTTGGAACCGGGGATTGAACTCAGGCCCTCGCGCTTGCCAGGGAAGCGCTTATTTCACTGAGCCATCTCCCAGGCCCCCTCACCGACCCTCTTTCCATCTTAAAAAAATATATATCTATGTCTATCTATCTATCTATCTATCTGTACATATATTTCTTCCTGTGTTGTCTTCCTTTTAAACATTTTCTCCCTATTTCTCAATTATCTATAAAATGTCCAATTTAAAAATACTTCAGAGGCTGAGGAAGGAAAGCACTGAGTTCAAGGTGTCACAAAAAGACAAAAACCCCAAACCCAAAACCTAACAATTATACAGTGAGTCCCTGTCTAAAAAAACAGGACCAAGAGACAAATGCAGACAGACAGTACTACAGAAAGCAAATTCCAAGATAGCTAGTATCATTTTACCCAGTCTCCTTAATTCAGTAAAAGCAGGTCATTCATCATAAGCAGTATGGTTACTTCTCCCATCTAAAAAAGTTCTCTAGATTCTTCAAATCCTGATGTACAGCAGTTACTCTGGGTAGATTATGGTCGGGTTCCAAAACAACCAAAAACCAGCTTCAAGATCGTGTCATCATAATGGACGGTGGGTAAAATTGCTCACCAAGGAAGGCACTACAACACCGTGTGGTGTTGCTGGTGCCCAAAAGCCCTTTATCCTTTTACCCCTTAAGAAAAAAAGACTCAAAGAGGGCATGAGATGCATGGCAATGACTCTCGCATTCTTAACATTGCAGTGTATATCTTGAACCTGCTGTTGCATCTTTAAGCTATAAATAAAGCATTTTCAGTGAATCAGTTTTTGTTTTTCAAGCATAATAAATTTGCCATTTTTATATTTTCAGAAAAAGAAGAGGAGCATTCAATTCCAAACAGCTGCTTTACTTGGAGAAATACCGACCTAAAATGCGATTACGTTTCAGAGACACCAATGGGCATTGCTGTGTGCAGTAGGAGGAAGCATGGACGAAGGCTTACTTGATTGTGGCCGTTAGAGGGGACTCT